CCCTGCCCTCAGGTTTCTGCTGCCCCAACCTGCTTCTCTCCACTGTGGGCTGGAGCTGAGGCCAAGAGCCTGGAACACCGTGAAGGCGCTGATCCCTGGTGAGTGCTCTGGAAAAGCTGTCCAAGAGAGCAGAGAAGGGGCGCGTATAATACAAGCCAGCCCTTCTCTTCCACGCCAAACAGACACCATACATTTTCAAATGATACGTCTGCTAATACTGGGGTTCCCTTTTGGGTGAACAAGTGAGGTAGTCTCAGAGACTAACAAGGATATGAAATTCTAGGGCTTCTATGGGTAATCTCCTGCTCTGGTCTTTTGATTATCTAAACCTGAGCTGTCCAATACGTTCAATAGCCCTTAAACTCATGTGGAATCCTCTTTTTTTTTTTTTTTTTTTTTAGAGGGTAGGAAATTAAAATTGTTTAATAAAATTAAATACAATTTAAAATTCAGTTATCAGTCACACCAGGCATATTTCAAATGCCTAATAGCCAGGCGAAGAGCACAGATACCTCCTTCATTGCAGAAAGTTGTACTGGAGAAAGCTGCTTTAAAGTGAAGGGTGGGGGCTTCCCTGGTGTCGCAGTGGTTGAGAGTCTGCCTGCCAATGCGGGGGACATGGGTTCGTGCCCTGGTCCGGGAAGATCCCACGTGCCGCGGGATCCATGCCCGTGAGCCATGGCCGCTGAGCCTGCGCGTCCGGAGCCTGCGCTCCGCAACGGGAGAGACCACAACAGTGGGAGGCCCGTGTACCGCAAAAAGAGTAATAAAGTGAAGGGTTGACAGGCTCCATTTTGAAGCACTGGTGCCTCAAATTGTATAAAAATGAGTGTAGCAGAGGAAGAGCTGCCTCATGCTTAAACCAAACAGAGTAGCGAGAGCATTATGACTTCTATAGTTTTCTTTGCCAAGGATTTCAGGGACGTTTGAATGAATTTTGCATGTTTCACACGTTTTGGGGTTTTTTCCTTCTTTTTTCATTCACAAGTCTCCCTTCTACCTGATCTAGTGTCTGTGTCGGAGAAAGAGATGAGAGACACACACAGTTTAGAGTGAAGGAGATCTCAGCACTTTATGGAAATCTGCGAGGATTCTGGAAACCCACCAAAAATAATATCAAATAGAAACTATGAGGTGGTGTTGATCGTTTAAAGAGTGAGTAGGAAAAAAGCCTATTGACCAGAAACCTGGTCTTCAGCTTCAAACAAAAGAGAATAAAAAATGAAGACCTATTACATTTTAACTGAAGCTTTGCCTCTGAGACAGATGCAGCTAAACATTAACTAGGGCAGTATAGTGAATTATAGATTAAGATGCAATTATGTCTCTTATCTCCCTCTTTCGGGGTGAGAGCTTGTCAATGTCAGGGCTCAGATAAGGGGAAGCACCATGTGACAGGTGGTATCTATTGTAGAAGCATGAAACTTCTGGAACTCTTAGATCTTGTGTTCCCAGGAGGCAAGACCCCAATGTCTTACTTGCTTGCATACCTCCTGCATAGTCATGCTTCCACGAGCATTTAATAAGCACGCTGCAATAAACACAGATGGAAAACCACACCTGAAACAAACCTCTAGTAACAACCAATGGTTGAGTGGGTGGGTGGTGAAAGGGCTGGATCCGGCTCCATAAACCCCGCCAGTTGGTAATTTGAACATGTTTTTGCAAACCTCTCGCACCCATGAGGTGAGGTTCTTGGTGTTTTCAAAAGGCTCTTTGCTGTCACTTCTAAATAAATGTTACAAGGTAAACCTGGAAACACCACCACTCTGGCATTTTAAGGGACATGTTCTTAGGGGCTTTTCCCAGATACTTGAAACATCTGCTCCCTATCTGAAAAGTTCCTGGAGTGGAAAAGTGAAGAAATACTTGTCCCGGGGTCCTTCAATGGAAGGGCATATATCAAAGGTTATGTGAAAACACAGTGTCTCAGAACAGAGGTTCTCAATTCTGGCCTGATGAGCATTTACATCAGAATCACCTAAAACATGTGTTAAAAATACAGATTCCCAAACCCAAGGAATCTGATCTGCAGGAGGATGCTGCCCAGGGATCTGAATTTTTACCACTTTCCCTAGGTGATTCTGATGTAACCTTGGGTTGGGACTGTCAAGCTGGAAATGCCCATCTTTCCACTGGGGTGTGGCTAGGTTACAGCTTTCTCTTAGCATCTTTTACAAACCTGTTTCATGTTCCCCACATCCCTTCTTGTCAAAGGAATGGAATGTAGGATGGGATTATTTATTATTATTTCACAATGAAGGATAAAGACGTAAAACGTCCTAGGTGAGTCAGTGATTCTGCCAGGAATCTCGACTTCACTAGTTAGCTGTTTTCTAGTCAGTTCAGTGTTTCTGTCAACTAGCCCATTGTTTCTGTCAATGCTACTAGTCTTTAGTAGGCAGGCTTCTCCATGGGACTCACACGAGTGAAAGATATGGACTCACAAAATAATGAAAAGTACGGTGCCTGGCTCCTCACCCCTGCACCTCTGGTCGAAACCAAACCAATTGTAGCCAAACCGCTGAGATTCCAGTCTAGACAAAAACTGGGGCTGGCAGGTCTGAGCCAGTCCCATTCTGGAGAATTTCCCTAAAGATTCGTTTTCCATAGGGCACAGGTGGGATTTGCGTTTAGTCCCCAGAGTTCTTGGAAGTCCTGAATTAAAGCAATTCTAAGTCCCCCTGAGTCCATGGGCTCTTGTTCAGAGTGGGCTGGGGGAGATCTGGTCTCAGTCTAAATCTTCCCTGGTCTGGTCTTAAAGGGCTGTGAGCTCCTGGAAGTAAAAGCAACGCCAGAAGTGCTACTGCAGGTACTGTTACCATTATTTATTTAGTGCTGCCCCCTAGAGGATTCAAAATGGTCTGGCCGCTGGGAGTCACCAGGGCTCTGAACCAAAGACTCACCCTCTACCCAACTGCAGGAAATCAGGACTTGACTCAAGTGGACTGATTAGAACTCTTGCAACAGTCCTACTGAGGACTCCCAGGAAGTAAGTTAGCTCCTTCTTAATGACTCCTCTGAAAAATTAAAATCCATGATGCTGGGAATCAGGTCCAGGAACGGAACACTGACTGACCCTTCTCCCTACCAGACCAAAGACCCTCGAAGCATCCTGATAGGGACCTCCAACCCTGAGAACCTGAGGGCAGAAGTCCAGAGTTTCCTTCTTATGGCTTCCCAATGGGCTTCAGTTTACTTTTTCTTTGTCTCCCCTTCACCTGAACTCTGACTATAATGTTCTCAGAAACAGAATTCTTCTATGTTCGGCACTTGCTAGATGGGTTGGTGGTGGGGAGGTGATCCTAAATGACTCTCTTTATGAAACCTGTGTCACTGTAGATAATGTTATTGGTCCTTAAGTTAGTACCTTGGCAATGATAGAAGCTGAGATCACCATGTAAGTTTCAAAATCCAGACTGCCTCTTTACTCCATTAAATATTAGGGAGCAGTGGTCTTTCTTTACAACTGACATTTAAACAGGAAAAAAAGTAAACTTGGAGTTTTTAATAATACGGATGTGCTCTCAAGGCCAGGAAGGAAGGGGGGAAAGAAGGACAGGAGAGAGAGAGAGAAAATGAAAGGAGTGAGAGGTAGTCTTTAGGCCCGCCAGGGAACGTGCTCACTGGAAAAACTCACCAGGCCTCGGTTAAATGCCCTTTAAAACCAGGCATCTAAGATTAACAGTGTGATATGCAGCCAGTGGAGCTACACAGCACTGTAAAATCCTTGCACGGCTTGGCTCAACTATTTGCAAATGGCTTCTGATTCAATTTTGTTTTGGTTATCTCAGTGTAAATAACAGTTAAGTGGGAGTTACAGATTTTTCAAACACTAAAAGTGATAAACAAGGCTAATGGCAAGTCCAGATAAGGAGGAAAACCACCCAGAAGAATCCACAAGCACAAGCAAAGAAATAAATGGGAGAGTCAGATGCGTGTGTGTTTCTTGTCACCGAAACTTTATTTTTCTTCATCTGCAGAGTGGCAGAAAAGGTATCCGCAAAGTGTTATTTAGACTGTTCCTGTTAAGAGTCTGTATGATAATGTAGTAATAGGTGCCTAGTGAAGCGAGACAGTTTGAATCCACAAAGCCATCCCTAGAAACAAAGATACAAGTGTCTTCCCAACTGTTAGCTCGAGGCTCCCTCTAAACAGGCTTCACGCCTCCATTTAAAAATAGTTGGCATAATGCTGTTTTCTTTCTCTCGGCGTTGTGTCCACATCTCCGTGGGGAAGTGTGAATAGAAGTAGTTACAGTAGCATTTCGAGAAACCTTCATGTACCTGGACTTTTTTTGGAGAGTTGGGGGAATCCAATTTATTTACCTGAAAAATTTCTTTGAAGAATGTCTTTCCTCTTCTTCTGATAGTTACAAGTTAGGAGCGCAGGGGAAACTACATCCTCACCCAGAGGAGAGGAGTATGTTTGGGACACAACAAAGGATCCGAGTAGTAAACGCTGGGAGTGTTTGGGGTTTTATTCAGCCGGCGCTGACCGTGTGTGTCGCCGCCACGCACTGCTGCCTGTGCGAACGCATGGCTGAGCTGCCGCCTGGCTCCCTACTCCAAACACCGTACGCCACCCAACTCCTCTTGTAACGCCATTGCGCGTGGCATGGTGTTGGGTTCTACGTGTGTGGCACGGGAGTCGGGGAATCGGGGGAGAGCAAGAATTTCCTCCGTTTCCCGCGGAGTCTTCCTCGGGCGGGGGCCAGGCGGCCAAAGGCAGCGCGCCCTGGAGGTGCCCGGGGGCTCTCCTTCTCCAGGGCATTACGCACGGGCGGCCCGGCGCAGCCAGGCGCGGAGGTGCCCAGGGTGGGAGAGTGGTGGCCGGGTGGGAGAGTGGTGGCCGGGTGGGAGCTGCCTTAACTTTGATCCGGCCGCGGCCGAGGGGGAAACCGCCGCCGCCCCGCCCGAGCCGGGTGCCGCCGCGCTCTGCTCTTCGCCGCGCGTCTCCGCGGCTGCCTCTTTAATCAGGAACACAGAAGGGGCGGGCCCTGAGCCGGCGCGTAATCGGATAGCTCTGCCGCGGCTCTGACATCCACCCGCCGCTCGGCCTGAAAAGGCAGGGGGGAGACGGAGGGGAAGCAGAGAACGCGAGCGAGGCAGCAGCCCGCAGCCCGCCCCCAGCACATCCTCAGACGCGCAGACACTCGGCAAGGCGCTAGGCGAGGTGGAGGTGAGGGCGGGCGCGAGCGAACTCGGAGAGGGGCTCGCTCGCTCCCAGGCGATCCCAGCCGGCGCCGCCGCCGCCGCCGCCGCCGCAGCAGCAGCAGCCGCCGCCGCAGCAGCTTCCTTCCTCAGACTCCCCTCTTGAGGCTGGCCAAGCGGGTGTAGCCTTTGGGGGAGGCTCCCGCTAGAGGAACCCGGTGAGGGCAAGAGCTGGGCGGCCGCCTCCCGCTCGGGCCGTCGGGTGGTCTGTGCCTCCACCAGCGTGTCGGTCCCGAGTGCCGGGGGATGTGTGTCAGTACGCCTCTGAGATCACACAGCTGCCTGGGGGCCGTGTGATGCCCAAGGCAAGTCTTGGCTTTTATTTTTATTATATTTTCCTTTTTTTTTACGCTTGGCTTACGGAAAATACTCGTGATGTTGTAGGATAAAGGAAATGATACTTTGAGGAACTGGAGAGGGCATAGATGCGTTTTGTTTTTAAGAGAGGAAACCCGTCCTCTCTTCCCGGCTTGCTCCCTCTTTGCTGATTTGAAGAGCTACCCTCCTCCTGGTGAGGTGGGGATCCAGCAAGGATAAAGGTGAAGACGGGCCGCCAGGACCCAGGAGGGAAACACTGACCAGTAGAAACCTTTGCAGAGGACACTGTAAGGAAGAACATAAGAGAGAGAAAAATACAAAGACTTGTAATTAAACAAGAAATCTACAAAAACAGCTCTGGAGAAAGCTTCCTTCTCCAAAATGGATATGTTTCCTCTCACCTGGATTTTCTTAGCTCTCTACTTTTCAGAACATGAAGTGAGAGGCCAACCAGGTAAGCCCCTGAAAGTTGTTGTTTTTTGTTTTTTCTATTCATTTCAATATGCCTTTACCTTTAAAAGCAACTGCTAATGCAGGGGGCCACACGCAATGGCAAAGAAGGAAGATCTCTCAATACTGAATAATTTAGAGAGAGATCCCAGCCGGCCCTCCCTACACCACCACCGCTGCTAAAACCCAACTTTTCTCTCCTGCTAGGAGTGTGTGAGTGTGTGTGTGTGTTTTGAAACATAGACAGAATTTGGCGGTGTTCAGATGTCACATATGGACTGAATCAAAGGTTTAAAAATACTACAAAGCTTTTGCATTACAGTTTTGGGGAATTTTTTCCCCCTGTCTTGAAGCAGAACACATCTCCCTTGAGTTTCTTCAACCTAGCCAGTGAAATATAAATCATTTGCGTTCCCTCCCCTTAGCCACATTGAGCAATGTTAACTGAAGGGCTTGGGAACTGCAAGAGTCTAGTTTGGGTTTTCCAGTGCTGTAGCTTGTTTGCAGAACGTGTGGATGGGTCTCAGGATCACTGGGCTGAGGCTGATGGAGCAAGTGGTCTTGTGGCTGAGCTCGGGGCTTGGGGCTGGGCGCTTCTGGCAACCGAGGCGTTTGGTCATTCAGCTCTCTTTCCTGCTGTGTTTTCTGGGGAAGAAAATCATGTGTTCTTTTAAAAATTATTATTAGATAACAAAAAGTATGTGGCCCTCAAAGGTCTCTCATTCTTGTGAAGTGGTCAGAAACTTTTGAGTGGAATTTGTTCTCAACCACTGCCAAAAAGGGTGCGTGGACAGACTGCAGAGATAAGTACTGCAAGGCCCAGAACGGTGTGGGGCCAGTACTCGTGAGCTAGGGGCACACTCTCGGAGAAGGGCTGGTTCCAGGGAATCCAGTGGGGCATGTTCTTGCTTCCGCATACCACTCTCCCGGGTGAGCCTCTCTCCCCTCTGACAACAGTGTCGCAGTCTGACAAAACTCTTAAAAGCTGCTACAGGTGATTGAGAGTGGGGAAACCATGCCGGGAGGAAATGGGGAAAAGAAAGAGGAGAAAAAGCCTTCCTGAAGTGCCCTTACCCGCAGGCACTTCGAAGTCTGCCACTGCAGCGATAGCACCAACCCCTTGCAGCCTCCCGGGCCCTCCCCCATCACAGCGGGCTAGTGGGAGCCCGCTGTGGGGGCCCGGGACTCTGATTCTCACTCCCCAGCACTGGCACGCACCCCACTCGAAGCTTGGGTGATTATTTGAGGGGGAGAAAGATTCGCGAATGCCCTTGTTATCCAAATCCACACGTTTGCTGCGTCTTCTCGGCCATAACTGGTCTTCAAAGCAGTTGAAAATCGTATCAAAGAGGTGGGTGCAGGTCCCACTTGGGGAGATTTCCTGTGGCTCCCCATTCCCTGTTGCCTTAATTCTAAGTTCCCAGCTTGAAGCGAAATTAAATTACCTCCCACAGACCTGAAAGCTGCATAAATTATGTATGTTTGTGTGATTCGCTGTGTGTATATATGTGTGTGTGTGTGTGTGCGTGTGTGTGCCCGCGCGCGCGCGCGCGCGGTGAGGATGCCCACGGTACATTATGTATTCAGGCACGGACTCTGGTAGGCCCCGGCGCGCGAGCGCGGGCGCGCGCACGCACACACACACACACACACACACAACTTCAGGTTCCGTGTGCTCTGAGGGGCGGGAGGGGTAGTAAAGACTCGGGGGCCATCTCCTACCCCAGATGTTCTGACATCTGTCCCCGAGCACTGCGCGGAGTGTGTACGTGTGTGTGCGACGTCCGCTCAAACCCACTCCCGCTCTGCCACCTGCCTTCCGCGCTCTCTGCAGAGCCCCCTCCCACCCCAGCCCCGGGCCGCGCTGCGTCACTTCTAGAGAAGCCCAGAGGCGCGGAGCACAGGGCTGGTCGCCCTCTGTGAGGCCTCAGGCAGCCTCGGACCCAGGGTGGGACCTCCTGATGGGACGCGGAGCTGGGACCCGCCCGGGGTGGGTATTCTCACCCGAAAAGGCGATCGCAAGCCGCGGGCCGTTCCGGCTTTTCGTCGGAGCAGCGGACTGGCACCGGGGGAGCCGGCAGCGGGTGGCAAAGGGCGAGGCCCAGCTAGACCTCTGACTCACCCGGTGCGCGCCGGCCGGGAGGGGGCCGTGCCGGGGAGCAAGTGAGCAAATAACCTCGTGGCCAAGGCGGGCAGCCTCTTGCACTGGCGGGCGGCTGGGAGGCCCAGTGGGCGTCGCGCACCAGGCTCCCCCTGTCCTTGCCACGCCGGCCGCCTTGCCAGCTCGCAGCGCCGCCGCCCGCCTGTCTCCCTCCTGCCCCGGCTCGGGGACTCGGGGCCGCTCGGAGGGCCCTTCCCGGAGCGCCCCCTCCTGCCTCGCGCACTCCACTTTGCGCTGCATTACCCCTGCTGCCCCCACAGAGCCGGCTTTGAGGGGCTGGGGGCCCGAGCGCTGGACGAGCTGGGTGGCGGGAAGACTGGGTGGGATTCGGAGCGAAGGTTGGAGGCGCAAAGGAGGCAGCTTGAGCCGCGGGAATGAGAGCAACTTGCGCGGCCTCTAGTAGCGCTGCGCGCCAGGCGCTCGCGGGTGCGCGCGAACAGGTGAAGCGCACGCGGCGCGCGGGCATTCCACGTGGTGGGGACGTGGTGCCCCCCCCAGCCTCCCCCCTACCCCGCGCTGTCTCTAACGCCGCATCGATTTGTTTGGGCTACGCAGCAGAAACAGAGCCGAGCGATCCATAAACATTCTATTAGGCAAAAATATTCCCAGCGAAAGCAAAACCGAAGCTCAAGCCTGGGCTAAGTGGGCCGCCTCCAGCTCCTGCAGCCTTGTCCCCTCCCCCTCCTGACTAAGGACACCTCCAGGGAGAAGCTTGCGGCATTTCCTCAACGCTGCCCATTGCCAGAAAGTTAAGTCGCCGCTGCGGTTCTCCGCCTGGGAGAAACCTCTGCAGTCGCCGGCGAGTTCTGCCTCCCCTCCCCCACCATCTCGCTCTTTGCTTTTCCGCTAGGGAAAAAGAAATATTCACGGCCAGTGCTTCATTTTCACTGATTGATTTCTCTTTAATATCAACAGAAGTTAATGGAGGCGGGGCGAGCTGTGATTAAACGGCTGCCTCCAGCCTTCGCCTCGGGCTAGCGCACCTCCGTTTTTCCCACCAGGTCCCCGGCGCCCGGCGGCTGGATGGGGGGGCATCCACAAAGCTAATGTCCAGGGGCTGGCGGGGGTGGTGGGGTGGCATGAACCGCTCGCCCCTCCGGGAACCTCTGCGGTATGGGGGTGGGAATCAGCTTTCCGGGCCAAGCTTAGGGGATCTGGCTCAACCGTGTCACCGCTTCTGCGGCTCCGGTTGAATTTCTCTGGAATGGGAGGAGATCGGCGCTCTGGTTTACTGGCGTGTGCTCACCACTCGCCTCCCTCCCACCACCTCCCTTCCTTTCGGTTTCAGACGGAGAGGAGAGCCCCCTGGCGCTAGCCATTCCCCGGTCAGAGCCTGGCCGCGAAACTCCCCTTTGCTGGACTTAATCTCGTGGTCAGCGGGGGGACGGGCTTTTGCTCAGGAAATCATCAGGCCCTGACAATGGGTTTCTTCAGATAGTGGCAACTCCCAGCCCTAACGTTTCCGCACCTCCGGGACACACTGCTTGGGGCCAAAAGAGCCCGGACCCTGTAACCAAAAACCGCCCCTCCCTTACCCGCCCCCCAGCCCGCCCCTTGCCTGGAGAGCTTTGATCTGTGCTTGAGTTTAACACCATTGCCACGGACACTGGCAAACGCAGTCAATTCAACCTTCCGTCTGGACTGGATGATCAGATAAGAGGTGTAAATTAGCTGTGGGAGACAGGTCTGGTTCAAACAAATGCTGAAAGAGAAGCAACGGCAGTCTAGGCTCCGGATAAGAGTTTGAAGAGGGTTCCCTTTTTAGCCTGTCTCCACGAATGGCGGGATGGCTGTGGGCAGGCATAAAAATTTGCCAGCAGGTCTATAAACTCCTGGATTCGGCACAGACAGCCTGCTCTAGGCTCTGGGGACTGGTCCCGTGCCCGCATTCAGTGGGTACCCGGTCAACTTTATCCCATAAGCAGCCACTGGAGGTAGTGAAGCTAGCGCCAGTTGCCAACAGAGCGCACAGTGCAAAACAGTGGAAAGAGAAGAGCTCCCCATGAGGGCTCCAGGGCAAGCTCCTTCTTGTCCAAGTTGTGCCTGGTAGAATTGTGTATGCCCAGGCAGCACCGCAGGTCTGGACTTTTCATGTCATGCCGTGGAGCCCTCAGATTAAGCCACAGAGCACCCAACTGGCAAAATGAAATGTTGGAAGGCTGCAGTGACTGAGAACCCCAGGCTATCCAGACAGGACTCCTGCTGTCTACTAAATGGCTCTCATCTCCTGCTGTTGAATGTATAGTTCATATTCTGCACCCAAAAGGTCAGTTCCTATCTTCACAGTGTAGTCGAGTCTAGGGGTCGAAATGCCAGTTCATATGCAATGAGGCATGAAAGCAAATAACAGCTGGGGAGAGGCCCCCGGGGATCAGTGGGGAGAGACACATAGACTGGATGGTCCTGAGGACCCTGTCTGGTGTTTTTCATTTGACTCAACTGCTTATTGAAGGAGCTGACTTTGGGTGACCCAAGTGTGAGACAGTTATGCGTTGACACAATTCAGAGCCAGGTTCATCGGTAAAGAGTTTTCAGAATATATTCCCCAAAGTCCAGTTTGGGAAGACTTTAGGAGCAGAAGCATAATATCTTTTTAATTTCTTGCACTGATGAGAAAAGACTTGAAAAGTGACATCTGGGCAGTAGTTTGTAGTATCATTAACATATTTGAGGTATTTTATCATGTGACCATCATTTGCCACTGGATAAGCTGTGAGGCACCCTCTTTGAGTGTCAGATTTGTGTTTGATCCCTGGAAGTTAGTCTTTGTATGGTTCCTTCCAGGTAAGGCATTCACTTTTTTTTTTTTATAATTAACCCATTCGTGGTATTGCGGAAGTTTG